AAAGTGTATGGAAATTGACAAGATCTTGAATGAGAAAGGTACCAGCAGACAGATATAGTGAGCATTGTGGTAATGACAAAAACAGACAGAGACAAAAACAGACTCAGAGGTCTCCCTTTGCCCTCAGACAGACGCTGAGCGTGGGTGGTTGGCTCTCCGCAGTTATCTGAGCCATGCGGCAAATAAATTCATAGCATGCCACTGAGCTACCCACACCAACCCCTGTGGGCATTCCCTGCAGTGCAAAACAGTGGGCACGCCACTATGTGGCACAGCCTGAACCTCAACAATGCCTGATATTGTTACCGAGATGACTGACACTGTAATCAGCGAGGCTACATGGAAAACACGTTTGAAGGAAGCAAATTCATACTTGCAGCTGTCGGAAGAAGCATGAAAATACCACACTGGGTGGGATTTGTGATGATTCAGCAACAACCTGTTTGCAGAACGAAATGCTGAATACAAATACAAGAACAGGATGCAGTGCAGCCGGTCTCAGTGGAAATACACCTCAATTATATTGGCAACATAAACCTATACAACAGAAGATAAGCAGGACTAAGGCTTTGAAAAGTTTTGGAAATTGTCGGACACAGACCGAACCATTTGACCATCTGGCAAGAGGATCTGACAGAGCATCAAGCCACAATAGCAGCTCTGCGAGGCTGTAATTAGGAACAACAATGCTTGTCCAAGTGGAACATCGATGTCTGAACCAGGTTTCATGGCAATCAACCCAACAGCTGTGATATTTTTCACTTAAAGCCACCGATACGAAACTCATGTTGGCACTAGAGGAAAAGTGAGGGGACCAACAAAGTCGGTATCCTCAAGAGAACCTGATATCTGTAGAAAATTTAAGGTCAAATCAACAATCAATCACACACAAGTCGGTTTCTCCCATCAGTTCCAAAGTGCTGTTGAAACACCTTCACATTCAACCGTAAGAGCTTCGAAAAAAATATATACAATTGTCAGATTAAAAGCAGATTTTCAATTTAAAATGGATCATTCAAGTACAGACGGGATGCGGCAGCTGCACAAACTTCACACTTTTTCGTCATAGTTTAAAGAGATGCTTCATAAGCTGCCATAAGCCCTTTCTTTCTCCATTTTTATTAAAGGCACATAGAGTCCAGGTGAATGGACACAAACCAGGAACTGAAGAAGGAATCCTGAATAATTGTTTGTCCATTGAATGAATTACATAACCACTAGACAAAACAACGCATTCTTTGATAAAAAAGAAAAGAATCTCTGCTGAGCAAATACTAACATAAATTCAGTGAACCCTCCCACACTCTCAAACTGTATTTTTTTTTTTACACAATAGTTACAGATGGCTGAATAGCCTGAGTATTACGCTTGTGGTCATAAATGCCTTTTTTATACATATTTATAATCATTCACTGTGATTATGGCAGACAAAGTGCAATGTAATGTTGTGGTCCACTTGTTTGTGGCTGTTATCTCAGCCCAAGACATTAAAACCACAATCTAATATAGTAAAAAGCACACAGCAATAAGACCAGCTTGTCCACATTTTTTCTGCCAATGGCATAAACGTGCTGTTTTGTAGTCAATAACACGTGCTCCACAGCTGGTGAGTGTAAGCGCAGCAGCTCACGGTGTGTTGATTTTGCCAACTTTCTACACAAGGTGCCAAAGAAGTGATCAAACCGCTAACCTTCTGTTATCAGCTCTGAGTCCAATTAGCTGAGCGACACTGTGTCATGCTGATAAATTACGTGTGCCACTGCCATCTGTAAACGTTCAGAGAATGCATTTTGTCACGCTATTTACCTCTTATCTTAATTCGTCAAATTCGCCTGGTGATTTCAGAAACAGAAGCTTGCGGGTGTTTTCGCATCATCTGCAAATTATAATTGTTTGCTTCTTCTATTCTTCAGCCGCAGAGGAGCGACTCCGAGGACGGTGGTGTCGCTCAGGTCACCGCTTTGGTCCAGACTTTAACATCTTAACAAATATTGGACGGATTGTATTTCTGCCACTGAAGACAAGTTTTTATTTAATTTTTCAACTTTACAGATTAGTCAATTAATCTAAATGACTCATTTTCCTTCAAAAATAAAAAAAAATCTAACTGACCATTAGTTTTATGAAGTTAGATTAATTTTGCTTCTTCAGCTTTCTGGGTGTATTTAGCAGCTACAAAGGCAAACTGGCAACTTTCCGATGGTTGTTGAGCTACTTGTCTCCGATGTGTCTTCCCTCAGAAAAGATAACAACATTAAAGCTTAAAATCAAAGTTACTTTATTGTACATGTCTCCATTTTATGCTCATTGTATGGACTAACCAAATGCCTTAAAAAATCCTTCCCTCCTTTTTGAAATCGTGAGTCCGTTAGTAACTCAGCTGTGAGCAGATAGGAGGCATGTACGGAAACAAATTCAAAGTTAAGTCGTACAATATCTATGTTATGAAGTGTCACATTGGAGGCACCTGGAAAAGTGTTAGACATGTTTTTGTAAACCAAATAATCACAGAAATTCAACTTAGTTTTTTTTCTTTTCTTTTTTGATTTATGGCATTATAACTGTGCCATGCTGCACAAAAGACATTTTTCAGTTCTCTCTACTTCCAGCTATAGTTGGGCTGTTTTCATTTAGGTGCAGGACTTTATATTGCCATGACAAATGAGCCTACAGCGAGTGAAAATGTGATGGGACCAAAAAATGCCCAGAAAATGCTTGGAGTTATAAAGAGAGGTAGAAAAAACAGCTCCCCCTACAAATAAACAGAGAACCCTAACAGTGGTTTCACTTTTTCGAACACTGCATGCTCCAGAATAGAAAAAACTTTGCACAGCCTACAAATCACTGTTTTGTTTTGCGCCTCTTTGTGAAACTTTGAAAGCTTTTTGGTCTTTGGAAGCTTTTACACCAAACTAAGTTGGACTATGCTGCAACCCCCCTTTTTAAAAACTGTATCGCTGCGCGCACTCTACCAAACATCGGAGCTAAAAAGATGTCATGGTGCAACACAGCGATACAGAAGAACATTTGCAACAACAAACCAACCAATTTAGAAAAAAGATTTAAAAACTATACGTATTTCAACCCAATTTCTCACAGCAGCTCTTATGGACATACGTGAAACATTCATGTAACTCATAGTCTCTTTTGTCATCTCCTGCCTTTCAAGTGGCTCCACCATCAGGTCAGCCACCTGCAAAACTAATGACCTTTTCTATTTCCATTAAGCGTCTGACTGTCAACAAACCAATGGGGCTAAGTCCATCTTTTAAATAAAGTTTACATGCACAACAAGGGAAGTATAAATTAGTTTCAGTCAAGGTAGAGTACACTATAAGGGACAATGTAGGACAGTTTAAAGGCTAGAAGACAGCGCCCGTGACTTTTATTGGAGCAAAGCCTTAACCAACTGTCAATCAAAGCCAGACAGGCTGTTATAAAGCCAGTAGTGTGCGCTTGTCCAGCCGCTGGCATTAAACACAGTCAGACGTTTCCTCCGGACAGCACCCACGCTCAAGGTTAGACAGCTTTTCAGTGAAGCTCTTTCTCATTCATTCATTGCTGAATTCTTCTGCGCCTCCTGCCCCTCCCGTTTTCCAGCATCCCATCTCTCCCATGTGATGATTTAATACCAGCTGCAGGTTCTTTCTCTCTCCCTCGTTCTCCCTCCATCGATGTCCTGTACTCCTCTCTCAGTCTGATGAAGTCAGAGTGCAGCTCGGGTATAAACAGCCACTGCAGGCCATCCATAGTGATCTCATTACACAGGACTGCAGGGGAAACTGTCTTACCCAATTTAACAAGTATTCTTCCTTAACCTCCCCCTCCTACTTCCTAGATACATCAGGGTCAAGTAAGCAATTAAGGGGCCAATTGTCTAAACAGAATGCCCGTTGAATTGAAGAAACAGAAATGATGCAGCACACCCAGACAGTTTCCAATTAAGCATCAAAGAATAACACGAACGCCCTCTAATTGTTTTGCACTGGCAAACCTCTCAAGTGTAACTTGTGCAATGGCAGTATTAACCCATATTATATCAATAATTAATAAGCCGACTGGAAGGAGCACTGAAATATGCATTATTGTGTGACAGCATATTATTAGACAATGCTTTTTTTTAATTGCCTGAACACTGTGAGTGGCAAGAAGTAGAATCATTTAGAGGAAAATGGAAAACAAACAAGGAACAAGACAGCATATATAGCTGCTCCACATCATTAGATTCTATTCTGCTGTGTGACTGTCTGGACATAAACATATATATGAGCGTAAAGCTGCTCCACGGAAATTAAAAGCATATTTCTACCATTTCTACGTATTATTCATATTTACATATAATGCCAGATAACACTCAGTGGAAAAAAAACAAACAAAAAACGGTTATATAAAAATGTTACTAAGCCACAAGCCAGCAGACGAACACAACAATTATGCTCTTATTTAATTAAACACATCTGAACCAAATGGATGTGTGCAAATAGTGACTATTACACAGCAAGTGATGGATAAAGAGGGATCTGTTTTGGTCACCGTCACACATGTTTGGATTTTATTTTTTGCCTTTTGTGTTCCGATCTGTCCCTCCATAGAAATGCTTGACTTAAGAGACATACAGTAAACTGAGTGAATCTCAGTTCATGAGGACGTGTTTACACAGCGATGGAAAACAGCAAGACAACAAACAAAAAATAAACTGACTGGAGGAATTTTTTGGAAAATCATCAGTGCCTTGACTAAGTCATGAAATAAATTAGCATATCTGTGTTTTCTGAGGGAGCCAACTTGTAGGTTTAGAAATGCAATGAGGAGTTTTGTTGCCATAGAGCTGCAAGCATCAGCGGGAGGTTCACATTATCTGAAATTCTCCCGCTGCAGCCGCTCTCTACTCTCAGATACATGCAGCATTCTTTACTTGAAAACATCCTTCCATTCCGACTGCTACAGACTTTTCCAAAGAGTCTTGGTCTCAGTAAACACCACTGTGAATGTTCTCTTACCGGATGTTGTGGGATTTGCGTTTGATCTCGTTCCAGCAGAGGTTCATGTCTCCGGTTTGGTGTGGGGCGCCTCCTCTCAGCCTCCTGCACTCAGTCCCCTCCTCCTGCCCCTCACCGTCCACTGTGGACTGGCACGGCACACAGTGGCATCCCGGCCACGAGGGCCGCCCCGCAGCTACAAACGCACACAGAGAAGAGACGCAGCAGGTGAGCATTACAGGATCACAGTTTTGAACTGAGTCTGCTAATAATTAATATTCTGTGCTGATCTTTAAAGCCACTGAGGGTAGGATTAAAAAAATCTGGCTTTGGCAGAGACACAGTTGTGTCAAAAAAGACACTGAGGCAGGCAGTGTTGCACACTGTTTCACCACTCAACACTTATCACTATGTCTACATTACAGATGCTATTTTCAGTTATGCAATATGCAACTAAACAGGACTCAGATTCTACACACTTACAGTTCCAGTCTCTTTTCTTCCATGTAATGCATGAAAGTACAGTGACTGTGTTTACAAGCTCACCAGGTTATGAGGCTTATCTTTTGATGGTGCTCAAGATATGGCAGTTATGTGGTTCATCATATCCACATATATAAGATAAATAGTACTATCCTGGCTTGTGATTATTGCGTGCCATTTGCACAGGTGCCTGTGATGTTTACTCAAACTAGCGATTAAATCTGACATTCCTGTAAATGTTAACCTTAAATTACTGTGACTTTCGCTATTTAAAATGAGGCCACTTTGGCTTATGATGGGTTCAGCACTATTGAATGCCAACATGACACTGCAGGTTTGGCAATGGCAGATGAGAACAACAAGAAATGTTCAACATGTCCTCCACTTTGACCCGTGTGAGGCTGTCACTGTCAGTGTAGGACAAAGGAGTTTTGGATGAAGATACGCAGCCGTGACTGTAGGACAGAGTCGTCGTGACCTCAAGTAGGGAGAAAATGTTGGGCATCGTTTTATTGGCTGTGTGACAGAGTTGAACTGTTCATAAGACCAGAGGAAACAACAGCTCAAGCACAAGTTCTGTTACTGACAAACTGAGCATTTGAGGGAAACATCACTTGGCTGAAGACACAGTAAGATGTGGGGGATAAGACGTATACATGCAACAGTATCCTGGTTTCTTCTGGAGTGGCACAATCAGGCTTATCCAGGTTTCTGAAAACGGGATTTGATGTTTACATGTGCAAACAGAAAAACCAGATACTTCAGAAACAAGATCATAACCTGATTCTCTAACCAATGTAAATGCAGTCGTTCTCGCCATTCATTGCATACAAAAATAGACAAACCCTCTATGACGTCACCTACAAGTTTCTGAAAGAGCAGTTTTGAAGTTGATCTTGGCAAAACCTGAGTCCTCTGAAATCCCAGTTAAACCAAAAATGAGCAAAGAGATGCAGCATGAGCGGGACTGAGGCATGGGCTGTTCAATGATGGCACTGATCTGTCACTCAAAGCAGCCACGCTCTTAATTATGTATAACTTTAAGCCTTAATACAACTTAAATGGGTGAGTTATATAAAAAATTACCCCCTTGTACAGTTGTCATAAACCAGGAAATTAGCTATAGAGACTAAAACCATTTTTGTACCAGGCTGTATTTCTGCTGTAAAGTTGGACATTTGAACATTCTGCTCTATGGGGACTGACTGTTTCTGGAGCCTCAAGTGGCCAATAGAGAAACTGCAGTTTTTGGAACAATCACCCGCGGGTTTGTTTTTCAGCCCCAGATGTTGTTGCTTGGTTCTTGCCAAAACCTGGGTGACCTACACTCAGTGTTGTGCCTGTGGCCAGATGTACGCCCTCAATGAAAAAGCACAGACTCCTCAATGATTTAAATGGGGCCAATCTGTCAGTGAGCAAGGTCACCGAGGCACAGGATTCCAGCAAAAAAAAAAAAACAACAAACAAACCAAAAACCCCACAAACTACAGCGTTTTCCTGTCTTGTTTCCAGTTGTTGGCCAAGTTGAATCTCATTTAACTTTGCTGCAACATGATGTCTCCAGGGAAAGTAATAAAAGGTAAAAATGAGTGCTACAGTGTTGACTTCCAATGCAGTAAGATCCTTTTCTTATCCAGTGAAACAGTTGTGCAGTGTTGTGGATCTGTTGCTCAAACTTGAGAACAAAACCCCTAAATATTGCACTGACATATCTGAATAAAATAATCAGTCAACACTGTGGCTAGACAGTTCTCCCATGAACCTGCAGTGTGCTGATGACAGTGTCAAAAAAAGCAAAGTGATTTCTGTGGGTTCAACAAACCTGAGGAACCAATCCTGTCATTTTGCAAAGTAGGACTTTTATTCTTCTTCAGAATCAGTTTCCAGTTTGAACATGTATGCCTGAATTACTTCAGTATTATAACTTGCCATTGGTGGCATCAAGTAGTTTTCAAATGTTTAAGCAGAGTCAAGGATGAGCTGGTGAGCCACTTGTAGCACAGAGTTACATCTAAGCTAGTCCAGTGTAGGAAAGAATTAACATGATGGGGAACTTCTAAATATGTACACAGAGATGAGTTTAATCAATTATCGGAGACGGACTTTAATGTCTTAAACTCATTATTAAAATTCCCAGCCATATACTTTAATGTCCAAAAAAATAAAAATCTGGTGAAATGAATAATTCTCCATTGGCACACCACTTTTCAAGACAAGACAGATTCATTCTTGTTATGAAAAATGAATTTAAGACATAAACCTTTACAAACTATTGAGGGCAGATCCTCCAAACCGTCTTCCATGAAACAACTGTCAATCAAACGCAAATGGCAAGATAAATTATGAGCATACAGTCTACTTCTAGTCTAAAATAAATAAATAAGAAACCTTATTAAAAAAGGCACAGTGTAGGTAAACAATGATAAACATTTGTGGATCACCACACATAAATCAGAGCCAGATTTAACAACTCTGTCCTGTGTGTAAGACAGAAACCAGAATCATGAGACAGCAGCAGTTTTATCCTGTTATTCCATTCCATTAAACTCAGGGAAACAAACACAGACAAAAAGCTTCTTTTTTCACAGACTTTTAGAGTGAGGGGGCATGTGAGGCTCGACATGAAGAGGTGCAATCCCCTTGTTGGAGCTCGGGGGGGAAATATCACGAAGGCATCATATGCACACAAGCACTATCTTACACACACACACACACTGAAGTAAGTGGCATTCAGAGCAGGAGAAGCTTTTCCAAGGTCACAGGTCATGATAAATCTTCTGTTTGGTCACCGGGCTGTCTGAGGCTTCCTGTCTTTTGTGTTCATTTCACAACCTTTACCTTTGCAGCAGCTGAGCTCCTCACCCTCGGCCTTATAACACACACACACACACACACACCAATACGTGCACGCACACAAACACACCATGACCAGCAGCTTCCCCTGTCTTCTCTCAGAAAGCTCTTATCAGATTGTTTTTAAACTGGTCGATCTCATTCTCCCCCGCAGGAGAACACAACCTCTAACCCTCACAGCAGCAGTCAGCCATCCATCTACTGCAACACACAACTCTACTGACTACTCACTCAGATACACAGTTATCAAAACAAGTCCTTAATCACTCAGGCCTCAGTGGTTCACTTAACCTGCTTGAACCATCTCCAGCACTTTCAATGTGTTAGCACCAAAATTACGAAGATGTTGTTTTCAGAGGTTTTAGAGGCAGACAAATCTTCTTAGTATGTGCAAAGTTTGTGGTAAAATGATGTGCTAAACTGAAAATAATGTTAGTTTTATGCAGGCTTAATGGAATGGAATATTGTAAATTAAAACCCTGGAAAATGTTGGATGACTTTGAAGTCATTTTTCAAAAACACGTGCTGCTGATGTTATTGGATGCTGCAAGTCGGTTTATTTTGATCAGAATATGTCCAACATTTATTAAGTCTTCTGATTATACACAGTTGCATGATATGATATATAGCATAGTTTCTTTTCTTAGTATGGTTTATTCTGTAAATTATCTAGAATTTGTTATTTTTCATTAAATTACTAACGACATAACTGTAAATTTGGGTGATAAAAACGTTTCAAAAAAACACACACCCACACAACATCCTGGCATCCAAAAAACTGCAGCTGTCCGACCACAAAGACAGAAAATCCATCCATTTTTATTAATTTATTTTGTTTCATGTTTATTAGCACTACAACAAACAGTCAATTAATATATGATCTGATTTTTTTCTTTGTTTTTAGCCCAAATTCTTCTTTTGCTTCTTCACTGTGACCATTCTTTTTTTGCTTTTCTCTGCTTTTTAAACCTCATCCTTTTTAAAATGTTTCTGAGACTAAGCAAGACATAAATGACTAAGAAACATTTCACTATTTTCTGACATTTTATGGGCTAAATTAAAATAATCAGAGATAAATAATGCAGATGAATAAAGTGATCAAAAACAATGTAATATATCGAACCCATTGCTCCATTTCCATAAACAGAGATTGTGCCATTAAAGTGTAATAAAGGTGTCTGCTCATTGCAGGGTTCAGGGCACCTCCGCACGCCGAAGTGTGCTAAGGCAAGACACTGAACCCTAACTTGATCCTGACAGGTGAGAACCCTGCATGGCACCTCCACCGTCACTGGTGTGTATGTGTGTGAATGAGTGCATAAGACACCCAGCTGTGGTTAGAAGATGCTATACTAGTGCAGACCATTTGGCATTTTTCTTTTTTTTTTCATTTTTAATAAAGAAAAGTTAATGCAGCTTACTCACAGCATACCTTTATGGTAAATGCACGTTTAACATCTTTAGTTGAAGTTTCTAATTGATATTAGTGCCAAAAGGAACTCTGAAATTTAAAAAAAAATAAAAATGTTTGTGGAAGGGACTATTAAAGTGTTGAATTTTTTTTTTTTAAATCATTGCTCCAGCAAACTCGTCCTCCTCCTTTATCTTTACCCTCCTCCGCCTCCCTGTTTATCCTCCTCATTCTTCTCACTACCTTTCCAGCTTGTTGTGCAGACCAGCTTACTTCAGATTGGCTGGAGGGTTTTTATTTTTTTATTTTTTCTATTTCACATGAATCATCACCATCTCATTCCCCCTCCTGTCTCCTGTTATCTCTCTGCTTCCTTTCCTCCCTTTTCTTCCTCAGACAGCTCCTGTTAGTGTAGGTGAGTCTTGTATGAATCAGCAGTACCCTGCACTTCTCTCCCACTCCCTCCTGCTCTCACTGTCTCTTTCCCTTTGCTGGTAATCAGAGGTCACGTGTGACTCTGCACACTGTTACCTCTTCGAGGACCTCACTTGAGCTGCGACACCTTCAGAAATAATAAAGTATACGCCTTTTTTATTCCGCAGACAGATTTGATTCATTTTACTGCAGTGTTTGTGAATAAAAACTGAATGCAAATGAGGCAACGGAAACCACACGCGACACAATGAAGTTCAAGAGCAGAATAGAAGCATGATTGTTTGTTTGCTTTAGAAAGCTGCCTCTTCAAGATGTGAAATGGAGTTGAACAATGACAACCGTCAACCACACCACTGCAAACATCAAGAGAATCCCCCGAGGGTGAACGATAGCTCAGAGAGAGGTTTGTGTCTGGAGTGAAGAGGGAACTGTGTGATAGACAGCCCTGTCAGGGGACACAATCTCTCTCCTCTCTCTCCAGCTTTTTCTCTTATAGCCACTAACACGTAAAGACTTAAATTATTATATCATTGCACCAGTAACAATATATACTTTTTCCTTTTTGTTGCATGTCAGCAAAAGTTATGCCACACAAATGTCTGTACTATCGCCGGCATGCATCTGCATCATGCAGGCATGTATCAGGCCACAGTGCAAGACATTAGGTGGTTCTGTCTCTCACTTTAAACTTCAAAAACATGAGTCAAGCTTTAAACATGCATTATTTATGGCCTTGATTGGATGTGGCGTTGCTCAGTCAAGCGTATGTTCTGCGTGTTTTCCAAAGATGCAGAAAAACCAGCAGAGATTTCCCTGACATGCCACAAAGTGACACCGACAATATTCATCTCGCTGCTATGGTTACGACTCTCACCTCGATATTTTCATGATCATGTCCCACAGAAATCATTGGTTAACACTTGGAAAACTGACCAATTATGCGAACAGCACAGACCACATATCTGCCTCTCATTCTTTCTTTTTTTGTTGTTTTTTTTCCCTGACCACTCAAGCTTAAGAAACCTGGAAGGACATTCCCAGACAATATGTGAATTTGAAATCAAAGGAGCTGAAGATGATAAAAGCTTTGCTGGATTTCAAAGTGAAAGAGAAAAGACAGTTCAACTGTGCAGATAAAATATCAGAGGTTCAAAGCCACTGTGCTGCTACACCATGTCTACACGTTGATATTAATCTGAAGGAATCAAGACTGTAGCTCAGATATCCCAGAGAAGCAACAAGATAGCAAGGATTTACTCTCATTACTCGAGCTCTGCCGATAAATGCAATTCTTTCACAATGTGCAATGCCTACCTTAATAGTACAGACTTGCTGTGCTGTTAGGACTCCAGTCTCAGACTCACGCTGTTCAACCTGTCACTAAGGGTAACAGAGTGTTGACATTTTTTACCACCGTCTGTTGGTTGGCTCGGCGGAGAATGCAGCGATAAGTTGAGCATGTAGAGAGGGATAAAAGGAAGACACAGGGGGAGAGAGATGGAGGTAGGGAGGGTGAGGAGAGACAGACAGACACAAGTGTGAGGAGAGATGGGTGACCTAATGAGCAGAGACTTCTCTCTTGGTCAAAGACTTCACTGTCCTTGTACATTCCTGCTTACACCTACATAGTTTCCCACTCCCTACGATCAACAGGAAGAAAAGGCCATCTGCTCCATGTCCTTCGACCTACACACACTCTGACCACTGCACAAACATCTGCACTGATGGTTAGAGGAAAATAAAAAGAAAGTGAATTATATTCCTGAAGCAGAGACTTCCATTCTTTAAACAATGTTTCCTCAGTGCAGACAATTAATGATTAATAAGGAGAGCAGAGGTCAAAGCCACAGCAGAGCAAGGACATACGGTCCGTAGCAGGAAGGCAGGAAGGCTCGTTTTAACATATTAGTAGAGAGTGAAGATGAATGGTGAGCACAAGTAAACATTTCATCAATAATTCTGAGCTTTTAATGTTAGTTTTCTTTGTTTGGATCTTTATCCACAGTGGTGGTGTGGCTCTAAACAGAGCAGTGTCAGACTGAACAGCTATGAGGTGGATTTTTCTAATAATCAGTGCACAGCCTAAAGACTTTGCTAATTTCCAGAGTTTTCCTCTGGTGCCAGCATTAGGCTAACATTTCCAGTGTATTGTCACAACAAGCTCCACATGTTGATGGTCGCCAGATAATAAAATCTCCTGACTTTGTTGATCCCTTGATGTTTCCTTATTGCCCACACTCGTGCTGACGTAAGTGAAATGTCTGGGCAACGACAGCATGGATTGTCATCAGATTTGGGACAGATTGTCACACAGTGTTCTTCTCAACATGAATCAGTGATGATCCAGTGAATTCTCATGTAGCACCTCGTCACATCACACTTATGCATTATATTAGTTTCCTGCTAAACTGACAATATTCCCTTCCACCTTCCACCTTTCTTTTTTTTTTTTTTTCTTTAGCGTGTTAGCATTTAGCTTAAAGCACCATAAGCCTGTGTGCAGCCTCATAGAGCTGCACTTTGGCTGGAACGACTAGCCTTATTGACTGTGTACATCACAAGTTTCTGTTATTCTTTCAAGCTTTATTTAACAAGGAGGTCTCTCAAGACACTAGTATCTCTTGTACAAGAAAGACCTGGTTTAGGTATCATCCAGAGAGCAACCCTGTCTCCACAAAATATGTCCCAAGACAGCCCACTTGCATTGTCATGTAAACTTTGAAAGAAATACGCCTTTGTTCTGAAACCATCAGATTTTCGCACCAGTGACATAATGGGAATGGACCACAAAGTCTGCATAAGGATTGAGAAGGAAAGGAATGAGGATCAACAATCAAACCCAGATGAGTGGGGTTTACATCCTGTGTGAAACCATTATTCTTTTCACTCATTTACGTTTGCTTATCACTTTCTGTTTGGCTAGCTTTAGACACAAAACCATGCTACTTCACCATCTGGTTTATTGTTTCACAAGGATAACTACTTACAAGAAGCTTGGTTGAGTTTAGGTACCAGAAGTGCTTGGTTGGGTTTAGGAAAACAAAATGGTTTTGGGTTAAAATGTGAACTTTTCCCATCCATTTTCTGGATTACCACAATAATGAACAATTTAACATATGAGTGGTTGGCGACAGCAAAGACATAACATTTAGGGATGGACTGATACCTCTTTTTGATTTCCGATACCGATGCCGATACTTCAACTTTGAGTATCTGCCGATACCGATACCAATACCGATACCGATATCATCTCTCCTCCTAAACTTCTTTGGAAATACCTTATTTGCATGGATACATTTGTTTAAGATGGCTTTATCAAAAGCCTCATACTATTAAAGCATAGACTTTGCTTTTCTAAGAAAGGAAAAAACAGCCAAAAGCATGTCTCACAGTGAAACTGCAGCTGCTTTATTTGAGCTGCAATCAGACTACAGTGTGCACTCAGTGCCATTCAAATATTTACAACAGATCAAAGTGACACAGCAACATTAAGCTGCAATTTAAAGGTTAAATTACCAAAACTTGCTATTAAATAATAGTACCACTAATAGCCGCTCTCGGCTCTGCGCATGAGCAGTAGTAAATGAGGCCGGAAACGTTGTGACCTGCTGCGGATGGGATCCAATAGGAAGGTTCTGTCTGCAGAGCCGCAGACCCACGTACAGGCTGCTGGTAGAGGGCTGCACGGAGAGGCTGGACTCGTCTGCTACGGCCCTATAAGTGCACGGCTTCTAGCTCGGGTACGCGACGTAGTTTTAAAGGGTGATTTCACTCAAAATATACTTCCAATTAAAAAAAAAATATTTAAGAAGAGTATTTTTAACTCCTTACCGCTCCCACGTCCCGCCGGTGGCACGTGACCACTTTCAAAACACATTACAGCCAGATGTGCGCATGCTCCACAATCACGTTTCCCGACAACATACACATCAAATGAAAGCTCAGAGTCTCCTCTTTCCGATGATATAAACCTTTTTGACCTGCAGCAACCACAGCGTGGACACAAGGAGCTTTTTGTACAGAAAAGCAAAATGTTAAAATCCGAGTTTTCTTACTTTTGAAGGCTCTCTGCAGCTCAAACATCGCTCATTCCTCACCAGCTTGGTCTCATTCTGTCCCGTAAAATAATTCGGTCCGTAAAACGTATTAGATCCTCAAAGGCACAAATTCTGCAGTAATGTCTTCCCAGCTTGAGATCAGCTCCGGCTGTTTTATTCATTTCTTCTGGCGAAATCAGGCTGAATCTATTTCAGATCGCGCTGAAAGCGCTACAGTCAGCTAGACGGACGTCTCAGCTTCTGATTGACACCTAGTTTGGCCAATAGGAGGGCTTTGGGGGTGAGTGACAGCCTGAAGGGCCAATGGAGTGTCTCAGACAGTCAACCTGGTCCGCACAAGTTCCACCCTTGTAGATTCGACCAGTCGGGTTGCAGACACTCTCTGACACTGTAAACTTGTAGCCAATGAGCAGACGAACACGTGGACCTGTCGGAAGGCAGGATTGTGTGTGTGTGGCGGTATCGGTTCGGCCAGTTACCACTGTGAAGTAAATCATTCGATACCGTAATTTCGTCCAGTATCGGCCCGATACCGATACCCAGTATCGGATCGGCGCATCTCTAATAAAATTAATAACAAACATATGTTGATTTGAAAAATATTTGTACATCACAACAAATGGAATGCGGCAGAAAATATGTTTCCTTCAAAACCGAATAGACAACGCTGTTTCAGTTAGTTTCAGTGTCTCCAGCCAATGATGCTGGGTTTCCAGATGTAGGAGTCTGGTTGGGTTCTGCTCAGGAGTGTGCAGAACATGGCAGAACCAGTGAAGAGAGAAGGTGGAGAAGAGAAGAAGGAGCTGACTGAACCAGGCATCAATGGTGTCATTTTTTAGTCAAAACAGATTTTGCAGGCACCCAAGCAAGTTCATGTCATGCTGTATAGTCTCAGCTTTATGCAGTGTGAAATATTTTTTATCTTCCAGAGAGGCTTCTTCTTGCTCCAGCAGCTTTGGATGTCCTGATGTCAGTATTCTCTGTGTCGTCGCCTAACTTAAAGGAGTTGAAGTTGATGAATGTCCAGGGGCTCTGGTACAGTCGTGTTATAGGGCTGATGAGCACTGTGAGGAATATGTTTCTTTTTCAGATCAAGGGATTCATAGAGGCCTAAAGATTTTTTTGCAAGAGACAACCCTTCATTCTTATTCCCTGAATAATTCTGAGAGAAATGTATACGGCTGACAACTATAACTAACAGGAGAAAGAGTTTTACAGAGAAGGATGGGAAAATTACGAAAGTTAATGACTACAGCTAACACATGCTTTCCTTTTCCTCTTGAAGACTGCTAATTCGTCGTGGGGTGAAGGTCTGGCCAGAGCGGTCATAAGGTTTATTCTTAGAAATTAGACATTCATAGTACTCAGCTGTGACAGATGGAGTGATTGTACAGAAATGGAACTAATTCTGTACTATAATTGCGAACACATCCTTCTGTCAGCCGGCTTAAGCCAACAACAATTTGAAATGCTTTACACCCACAATTACAACACTTAACAGAAGTGATAAAGTCATTATGCACTGTCCAAAAGAACTGGCGAGTGCTGATACAGACACCCAGAACTCTGCGCTTCGCTGAATGTGCCGAACACTGATTTAACTTCAACAAATAAATGCCAAGCCAACAATGACTCAGAGCATCAGTGTCCAGGAGGCATGATGCTAAATAGTATGTGAATGCGAGTTGATGCGAGGGTGCTTGTGCATTTTGTGTGAGTGTGTGAGGATGCATTTTGGTGTGTGTGTGTGTGTGAGTCCTGGCTTGTTTCAGTAGCAGGCTCTTGGCTTTGTGCCTGATGGGGGTTAGTGGAGGTTGGACCACTGCCTCCCTGCTGCTCTACCCCGCTGTCCCACAGCCCCTCAACAGCCACCAGTTAGAAGAGAAAAAGGGAAACGCACACACACATACATGCACACACACACACCACACACACACACACACACACACAGCTCTCAGTTCTCTGCTGCTGATGCAGGATGAGCGAGCTGAGCTTCTCCTCACAGCTGCAACCGTCACACGCTGCTGGAGAAACTGGAGGAGCTCCAGTGACACAGCACCGACACATTTCCACATAGGCCCGCTTGAATATTGTCTATTAAAAAGCAGGCATGCAAAGACACACACACATTTTACTGTAAAGAAAAAAAACAAGAAACACACACAAGAGTTCCAACTACACCCTCCACACCCATGCTGAGCGCAGGCAGCTCTCAAACTCTTACTATTCCCCCGTGAAACATCGTCGTGCTCTTTCCAGGCTCGACTCCCTTTTGTCTGCAGCGATTTCTGGTCGGAAACAACCAAAAGAACAGCGGGAGGAAAGGAAAGACTTTCACTTGCCCTCCTCCCGCCGTCTTCCTCCTATGCTCCCATCACGACTCCACATTGTCATGCTTGCAGTGTTTCGCCCTCTAACCAGATATTTCATTACCCTTCGTAGTTTATTATC